TTCGCGTCCCTCCTCTCCGGCCCAATATTTTATGCATCAAAAACAAACCTTTAATACTGCCACGTCAGCATAAGTGTAGTTCATTTCGCCGCGCTCGGTGACGTATCGAAAGGTTCGATAGGCTTGGTGTGGCTTATAATAGGTCACGTTGATGACTTGCTGCAAGCAGATCTTGGATTTATGCGATACGCAACAGCACGAGGTACGTAGGTACGATACCAAACAAGGCACGTAAAAGGCGCTCCCAAAAAAATTCGACCGCCCTCTAGCGGGCTGCAGAATCGTCCGATTTTGACGGTTTACCTATAGAACACCCGGAAAGGCGAGAAAACAAACACCTTCCGTTTTTCAACATCGGCATTTTACTTCACGAATTTTAGGGCCAACACCGATGAAAACTGTAGATTTTATGTAAAATCCGCCTGTAAATTGATTGCTAGAGCTAACAAGACGACACTGATTTTACGCGTTTTGAAAAATTGTTTAATATCGACAGCGGGCTAAAAAATACCGCCGATATATGCGCATTTAAAAGGAATCCTACCCGTAGTGGCGATTCTAAATAGATGTGGCTGACGCCTGCTACCACGGCCATCTGGGGTGCGCCTCTAAAGGAGTTAGAATTACGGCAATACAGCAGCCGTAGCTCCATCGTGCAAACTCACATGGCGCTCACGCAATGGGCAGCTGTCAGCACCCAGTATGGGGCCAAGATTGTACCCCGCAAAAACTGCGTCAAGCCACCACTGGATTTTGATCAGTTGTAAATTTTCAATTCCCTAACTTCACGATATCCTTTTGCACAAGAGCCACGGCAAACGAATAGTTTTTTATCCGGATCGTCGAAGTCCCATTGACAATCTTTAGATTTCTCGTGATGCTTGCTACTCCATTGGCCAACAGGATAAGCAAGAAATACATGGAGTGACAGTTTTTCTTTGACATAGCTCTTGAAAATACAATGAAATAAAGGTCTTACAGCTGTGACATCCCTGTTCTATTTGCATAAATCGAAACCCCGGGTTTTTATTGCATTTCACCCGCCTCATTTCCGGTGCGGCGACACTAATATGAGACCAAAATAGACTCGCTCATATCCAAACAGCTGCAGATCTGCTAGTTGGTCCAACGAGGACTTTGAGCGGTCGTTCCGCACGATAACCTACACAAGTCACGTGTAAATAGCTAGCTCGGGGGCGCCCCCCCCCCCGCTTTTTCAACGACGCGGCTTTGGAAAATCGGATTCTTTTGCGCTATTGTAAACAAAAAAATGCTATATTTTTGTAGGTTTATCATAAGGCGGTGATATCTCGGCAAAGCGAGATAATTCTAGTCGTCCGCTCGATCCAATCACAGTAGTAGGCAGCGTCCATATAGGTGGCTAAAGGGTGTCAATTAAATAAGGCACTGAGCAACGAATATTTTCAAGACGTGCGTTATCTTACGGGCTTTACGCAACTAAATATAAAATCCAGAACTACCCGCGTTCCTGTGATATCTACAGAGCTTTGGACCCGAGTTGACGATGCCGATTTGGACGAGATGCTTTTTATGGAAGCGTGACAGAACGGAGACGACCAGGGGCCCTCCAGAATCGCCCTGAAATCAAAAGGTAGTATTTAGTAATTTGGCCAGATAAGATCGGCAAGGTGGTAAATTCGATGGGATAAAAATATTCCGGATCTGCCGCGTATCGTAGACATCCAGGGTGTCCCAGAAAAAGGCCCCGGTAGGCGTTTCGTCGTATTAAAAAAAACCCCCCCCCCCCCCAAAAACAAAAAAAAAAAAAAAAAACTTTTTTATTTTAAAAAAAAAAAATCCCCCCCCTTTTTTTTTATTTTTTAAAATTTTTTAAAAAAATTTTTTTTTTTCATCCGATCGGGCCCAAAATTGGACGAGCGGTGTATCAGACCCCAAATAACCACAATCCTGACTTATAGCCATATCCCTCAAATGGGTCTCGAGTTAGGGCAAAATAAACCCTGTTTTACGTGTTATTTAAGGGAATCGACCATACAATATTGAGTGGAACTGATGCGGCAAGCCTTCTTTATGGCAAAAAAAAAACCAGCAGTCCGTTGTTTCTTTTGTTCCCCGGTTTTTTCTCGGTTTGGTTTGTTTGTTTTCCCTTTTTCCCCTCCCCCCTCCCCCCCCATTAATAGATTTTTTGGGTTGGGTTTGGTCCCGCCTCCGCCGGTCTTTTTTTGTTTTTTTGGGGGTTTTGGGGCTTTTTTGTGCTCCGGTTCCCCCCTTCCCCTCCATCCCCGCTTCTTTTTCCTTTTTTTTTTGTTTTTCCCCTAGGTTTTTCCCCCGGGGGCCCCCTTTTCTTTTTTTTTAAAAAAAAAAAATCGCCCCGGCCCCGGGGGGGCCCGGGCCCCCCCCCCGCCCCGGCCGGGGAGGCCCCCCGCCCACCCCCCCCCCCCCCCCCCGGGGGGGGGGGGGCCCCCCCCCCAGGGGGGGAGGGGCTTGTCCCCGCGGGGGGGGGGGGGGCCCCCCCCCCCCCCCCCCCCCGGGGGTTTGCGCCTTGGGGCGAAAACGCGCCCCCTCCTTAAAGGTGCCTTTAAGAAGTTTTTCTCGACAAAACAAAAAACAACCGCTGCTGCCAACAATTTTTGTAACGCACAGCCATCCCCGATCCTAGGCAAACTTAGGGATTCGTGATGCAAATTGACCAAAGTCTAAAAGAAGTGAAAAAAACTGTAGCAATCGCGGAAAATCGGTATTTAAGTTATATCTCGAGAACCGCTGTATCAATCAGACTGTAACTCAGGATTGTGGTTAGTTAGAGTCTCATATCCCTCTGGTTGAGTTTTGAGACGGATTGGATGTAATATGACCAAATGCGGAGGGGTCTTTTTTGGGACACCCTGTGCATGCTGTATTTATTTACCTTACAAGGTCCTGTATCTGGCATCGAGGCGCAGATAAGCTTCTTTGCAGCGCCGCCACGAATTGCTCTACATCCCGCTCGTGAATAAATGTTGACGGTGGTATAGCGAAGGTCAGGAGAATCGAAGGGTCCTGATCAGTGTGTAAAATTGAAGAACGCTGCTTCCGAATATCAAGCAAAGGCTATAATGTTGCTTTAAAGATTACCTAATGGACCCAGCTGTCCCCATCCCATCACGATGCCTTGCACCCCAGCCACTTCCGTGTAATTGTTCGGCTTCACCAAGATTGTTGGCCTGGCCTGATGAGCTCGGAGGGCGATTGGGGTTTTTAACTAAGGTTTATGGACGTCAGAGACTTCGCAGTATGCAAAGTTGGTACCAAAAATTTACCTTGACCAACGCAACATCATCCAGCCAATAGTTCATGCGGCCGTCGGAGACGTTGTAGCGCTCGGTACGGTAGCCGGAGTGGATGTAGTAACGTTCGACCTCGATTATTTGCTATGATCAAGCTATATATTCTTGTTCGAAGCCGCATTACCCGTTGCATGGCGCGGCGGCGAATATTGGCGACGCCCGCGATTATGCTCATATTGAGCGGCGAGCTAAATTTTGTAAGTTCCAGGCTAAACGCGACGTAGCTGCGACGCGTATGCCACACACACGCAACGTTTATAGCGGCACTTTCGCAGTGCGGTTTTCCATAAAATAAAAAATCCCACCATTTACAAATAAAAAACCCCCCCCCCGTACCCACCCCAACCATATTAAATTTTATAATTCCCCAACCAATAAAAAAAAACATCTCCCAAAACCCTTAAAAAAAAACCAACCCAATTTCAAAAACCACCCAAAAAAAAGCCCGAACCCCCCCAAAAAAAAAAAAAAAACTAAAACCAACCAAAAGCAAAAAAAAATTAAAACATCCGCAACGCACCGCATCCGCGACGCAAGCCTAACCAAACGCTTCCGCGACGAAAGCTATCATAAACGTGCTAACCCACTATACTAACTTAACTCAAAAGTCAACGGACGCAAAAAGCGAAACGCAACGCCTCCACTACGGAAACGTGACGGAGTCGTTACGCGTCCAAAACCCAACTTACTGATCTTCCAAGCAATGCGCAGCCGTCAACACCCAATCCGCAGCCACAATGGACCCGCCGCATACCGGCTGAATTCCGTCACTAATCACGGATGTTTCCAACAATAACATAGATGTTCCTCTACGTTTGGTTGTCGTCCTGTACCACCAGCGCCACAACGAATGGAAACTCCTTCATGTCTGAGGCGATTTGGCCATTCAAAATCTTCTGATTTCGGCGCAGGCCATGTACCAATTTCAGGTGGCCGAAAAAGCAAATAACGAGCAAGAGCTGAATTTGGAGATTCATTGAAAAATTATCGTATGTTCCCGACAGGTTGGTTATTTTCGCCGCATTATAAGCCACTTGGAATCATCGAAGGGGAGAAATATGCCCAATAAATGCTTGACGTATTTTTTGGCAGCGCTCCGAAATAGGCGTTTTATTGCTTATTTAATCAGGTGTAAACAGGATCGGACCAGCTGGCAAGGGGACGGAAGAAAGGCTTCGGAACCGGTTTTAGAAAAAAGCCGCTAGTGAATCTCATTCAGAAAAAGCTCCTCTAGAAAACAAGCTAGTTCACTCACAAAAGTTTGAAATTTTGGAAATTTTCAGAAAATGAGGTGCATCAACATGCATAAAAGTTTTTACAATTTCTCAAATCTGTTGCCTTCCATCGAAAATACCCGATTTATAGGGCTTCTTAGGCTAGAATCGTTGTTAACTTTTTCACGATCTTCCCAACTCCACTAGAACTACCACAAAATACACGACCATAAAAGCACCAAGGTCCATCGCACCTCAAAAAACGCCGGGATCGCGCCATCACTTATGCAAAACGGCGTGGCTGGTGAACCCAGGGGAGGGGGGTGCCGGTCGTCGGCTCAAAAATTTTCGGGCGGCCTACAGGATGGAGACTTGCGATCGCCCACCCCTATTCTCGATCCGTTCTTTTCGGCTATGGTTTGGGATTTTGTTAACCTTTGGATTGTGGGCGAATTGGTCGATGAAGCAGATCCTGAGCATGGCGATACCGTGCATGGTGCGTAATTGGAATCTGTATTTTCCTCCAAGCTGCTGACAGAATGCTTAGTGGACACCGCTGACGTCCAATTCGGCAATTTCCTAGATTTTTAATAGGGCAAATTACTTGGTTTGGTTGTCGATAAGAAAAGGCAACGTCAAGCCTGGATTAAATCGTCTGTTACCTAAAATACCTGCACCTTTTTTACAGGTCAACACTACGATAGCCGTCCAAAATTCGTCATCATCTCACCTCGATAATTTTGAACCTACCGCGAGATGTGGAAGAATCGTCGAAGATTCGGAAGCAGCCCAGGAAATGGGTTATCAGGTATTTGGTTTTTAATGCGAAAGTAACAGACTTTGTTTTCTAGGGAACCCTCGATTGGTCTCCATCGATGCAAGCCCTCCTCTTTTCCTCAACCTTCTACAGTAGCCTCGTCTCCGTCCTCTTTGTCGGCTATCTGGCTGACCGTTTCGGGCCCAAAATTATGCTCCTAGGTCAGAACGGTCACTCGAAAATTACTTAGCCGGTTTCAGGCGCATCTGTTGATTTTCTGATCATGAGCTATCTAGCCCCATCGCTGGCTAGTCACTCGTATTGGGCATTCTTCGGGACGAGGCTGGTAATGGGATTGGCTGAGGTCAGAATTAGTCGGACAACACCCCAAGAAACGCACCCCGGGTGCCTTTGAAACGCACCCCAGGGGGTCTTTGAAACGCATCCGGGGTGCGTTTCTTGGGGTGCTGTCCGACACTAGTAAGAATCATACTTTAACGATGCTTCCCGAATATTTTCTAACGTCAAATTGCGGTTTCTGGCTACTGTTACTACTGGCAAGCCTTTTTAGGGTGCTGTTTTTCCATGTCTCAACTCCTTGGCAGCCAAATGGTTCCCACCTACCGAAAAATCAACGATGGCAGCGATCTATACATCCGGAATTCAGGTAAACTTCGCCTATGCCCTTAAAACCCTGAATTCTAGATATCCTCAGCATTTTCTGCCCCCATTAGTGCATTTCTATGTACGACCAGCGTGGGCTGGCCGTCTATTTTCTACTTTTTCGGTTTGCACTGACCTAGCAGTCGTTTTTATAGCCAATTTTAGCGACCGCGGGTCTGGTCTGGGTGATCCTGGGACTAATTTTTGTCACCAATTCCCCCTCCAAGAACAAGTTCGTCTCCGAGCGGGAGAAGAAGTACTTGGAGCTGCATGTTGGGAATAACGCAAAATTGGCGGTGAGGGTTCCGGTAGCTCGTTCTCTCTCACGCTGCTTTCTTTTTCTGCCTCTCTTTCGCGCTCTCTCCCCTCTCTCTCTCTCCTCTGGCCCTCTCTCTCACTCTATCGCTGTCTTTCCTTTTTCACTTTTCGCTCTCTCCCGCTCTCTCTCTCTCTCGCTCTCGCTCTTTTTCTCTCCCTCTCTCTCTCTCTCTCTCTCTCTCTCTCTCTCTCTCTAAACTAGGATTTTCAGAAGAACGCTAAAATGCCGTGGAAGAAGTTATTATTCTCGAAGGAAGTCCTAGCCGTTAACGCCTGCTCCCTATCATCAAATTTTATCTCGAACACGATGCAGTCTTTCCTACCTACATATCTTATGGAAGTGTTGGCTTTGCCTATACACTTGGTATCTCTTAAGCTTTCAAAGTCAACACATCTTATGAAGAACGGTGTATATTCGATGGTACCCTTCTGCTCTCAGCTCCTCTGCAAAAATACGATGAGCCCACTGTCGGATTATTTGAAGCGGCGCGGGCATAGTCCGACAAAGTTGGGGAGAATATTCCAGGGGATTAGTGAGTTAATAGATATTGTTTTGTCGATTGCCTATAGTTTTACTGCTATTTTGTGAATTCACATTTTAAGCTATCATTGTAGGCGTGTGAGCTGTATTTTAAAACGATTTTTTTAGGCTCATTTGGCTCCGGAACTTTCGTTATCCTACTCGGCATTATACCTTCTTGTGATAACCCGGTTCTTGCGATCCCACTCCTGATGGGTTACGGTATAATTGCCATACCGTAGAGCTTAACACGACTTTAGGCCTTACTTTCTCTTGCATGGTGCCTGGCTATTTCACCTCACTACTATCGATTGCTCCAAAATATACGGGAACACTGTCGTCTTTTAGTAATTTGCAAGTATAGCGGGGTTTGAATGTTTTTAGATGCGATCCCAGGGACGCTTGGCAGTATGGGAGGGCCGTTGCTGTTATCGCTAATCAATTATTTGGTACAATTTTACTTCTATTTTAATGATGTTATGAATTTTAGCAACTGCCCTACAAATGGCCAATACTTTTTACGTGCTGTGCTGTTCTCCATTACATTGGTGGAATAATCTTTGTCAGCTGGGGATCAGGTTTGCCGGGAGAGAGAGAGAGAGAGAGAGAGAGAGAGAGAGAGAGAGAGAGGGAGAGAGGAAAAAAGAGAAAAAAAAAAAAAAAAAAGGAGAGAGAGAACATCGTGGCCGATGTGATACATCCAAAAATAAACCCGATTTAGCCGAAGTCCTCGCGTGGGCCAGAGCCGATTCCGTCAAGCCTATCCCGAGTTTCCAAGTGTTTGATCCGGAAACGAAAATTCGGCCTGTTGAGAAATAAAAGTTTTTTTTGGTGTTTTTGAACATGTGATGCACGTGACGCAACACTTATAATATGCGAATTACCCCTTACAGTATCGATGAGCCCTTCCAAAATATTGCCTGTTTTTCCATTAGAAAAGTTTAGTGCTAATTTTTTAGCGGAAGTTGTCGCCTGGGCGAGGTCGAAAAATCACAAAACGCAAGCGATAACGACTAGAACAATTTTTCTAGGTAAAATTTTTTGAAATTTACGAAGATATTCGACACGCAAAGCCTGTCTCTACCCTTTCAAAAATCACCAAATTTTATTTTTCATAACAACCACTACTTGAAGACAATGAACGCATTGGACCGTATGAGGAAGTCCCTGGAAAAAGGCTTTCACCCCGAAAAATGGCCACAAAGTCCAGTCTTCCATGATTCACGCCGAGGTACAAATAATTTACTTGCATATATCACGGCTCCAAGGAAGTCAGCGCCGTGCGAACCGCTCCCACATTAATGCGAGACTTGCTCCAGGATTCATTTGCAAGTTTTTACCATAATTCTTTCCAGCAGCGATTCATAGATTCTCGAAAGTAATTTGGTGGGAAGAATTACCGATCATAGCTCGTAGTGTAGCTCACCTAGCCGCTGCGTTACAAGGATCGGGCCGACGTCTTCAAGTGACTTCTAAACTAAAAAACAGGGAATTTTCTTTTAGTTATCGTTATTCGTTTGAGCAATATTTATTAAAGGGAGGAGGCTACGAATTTTTATGGATTCTCTCACTTTCTCTCTCTCTTATCTCTCCCTCATTCTCCCTCTCTCTTGCTGTCTCTCGCTCTCGCTCTCTCTCGCTCTCCGAGATTTTCTTCACGTCTTTAGGCAATCAATAATTACAAAATTTGATAGATGACGTACGACACAACGGTCATGATCGAGCGTATCAGCGAGTTTTTTCATTTTACGATAAACTTATTCGGGATCCTGACGAATTTGTGGCTAATGATATGTATCGTTAGAAAGGTGGGTGTTGTTAGGATTGTGAGGAAATCCATATTATGCCAAAAAAAACACTTAAATTCGATTTGATACCATAATTTAGACGCCAGAAGGTCTACGCCCCTACGCGGTGCTACTCTTCAACTTGGCCTTCACGGATGGTGTGGCCTGTTTCGTAGGGTATTTTGTGATGCAAAGGTATCAATTTCGCGGTATTTCTTCATCTTGCATAATTACCATTTCGCATAGCGCTATTTCGCATAATTGCATTTCGCATAATTGTTATTCCGTATAACGGCGATTTCGCATAACGATGATTTCGCATAACGCTTATTTCGCCTAACGGCGATTTCGCATAACGGTCATTTCTACCGAATCGTGATCTGATACCGATCATTCGCATAATTTTCATTTCACCTAGCGATGATCTCGCATAACGTTTATTTCGCATATTTTTTAGTTAGTGGCAACCAAGAGCAAAACAGGGCGTTTTTGATGATATGAAGTGCAGTCACGGTATAAGACAATCGAAATGACTAGCTACCATTTACGCGGATTCCGCATCTGTAATCAATGTAATGCTTTTGACCTAGTCTTGCGGTCAGATCTGCTAGTTTACAATGGACACTATCTACAACGTAGGATTTTTGATCAAGCCCCTAACAGACGTACACCCGATGGGTCATGGATTTTGAGCAGCTTGGGATATTCGCACGGAAGAGCGCAAAAAACCGCGTCAGTAGATTGTTTTTCATCGATTGCTGATTACTAAGCTAGAGTTATATAGACCATCGGCTGCCAATGGCGAAAATTATGCGAAATCACGGTTAGGCGACATAAAAATTATGCGAAATGGTCGTTAGCTGAAATGAAAATTATGCGAAATGATCGTTATGCAAAATCACGGTGAGGCGACATCACCGTTATGCGAAATAAGCGTTATACGAAATAAGCGTTATGCGAAAGCACCGTTATGCGGAATAAAAATTATGCGAAATGCAATTATGCGAAATGGCGGTATGCGAAATGAAAATTATGCGAAATGAATGGAAATCCAATTTCGTGGAGTTAACAGCGTTAAAGATATGAAAAAATTAATTTACCGATATTTCAGAATCATCCCCTACAAATTCCAACTCTTCTACATCTCCTACGGCCCCTGCCGATACTTTAGCCCCTTTGCATGCTACGTTGGGTACAGTATACAACTTCACTGTTATGCACATTCGTTAAATTCAATTTTACTGTCGTTTTACTATAGGTTATATATTTTGAAAAACGTAGGTTTTGCGGAGAAAATCGAGAAATGTAGGTTTTTAGCCCACCCCAACCTTCAGAATGGTCATTTTCTATACCTTAATCGTCTACAGCCCATCACTTTTTCAAATGGTAAGCAAATTTTAATAAATTTCAGGCCATAAAAATTTAGTTTTACAAAGTGTAGATAAAGAAATATTACATAGCAAAATTTTAGACTTCCTTCCTTTTTGCCGTTGATCCTCCCGAGGTGGCTCGAAGTTTGTTAGCCGCAAATTATCCGCTTTATGACGTAACTGGTGAGTAAAAAAAACAGGCTTTTTAACTTTATTAATATAGTATATTATATATAATATCGTGTCGTGATATTATTAAATGTTAATATTTAAGATTTCAGTTAAATACGGAATTTTGAGGTCTAACAGTCAGCGGCCATCAGTCAATCTTCACTTTTTCGTGCCTATTCACTGTTTTCTATATGACACTGCCGTGTGGCCCGATCTATGTGATGATATTAATTACGAGGCGTAAGATATTTGCTGTAGGTTCTTGAATTTCAAGTTTCATTTAAATTTTAAAGCTGCGGAATTTTGACGTGAAAAACTATCTTTTTAGGTCCTAGCCAAAGTAGAGATGAGCGAGCGAACCAGGCAGACGCATTTGAAGCTTGTCAAGGTATACGAAGCTTACGGAAATGTCTAAAAAATGTATAGGCTTTAACCTTTCAAGCGGCTCTTCCATGCTTCTTCTCAATATCGGTTGGCTGCTACGCTGTGGAGCAACTCGGGATTTATCACCATTCTATTTTGGAGTTTATGGTTTTTCAGGTAACAGCTTTTAGGTGTTTTTATTAACTATTTTTTGCGTGTTAAAATGTCTTTAAAATGTCATTTGTAGTCTGTGGCATGGATCCCGTTACTAGCGCCGATGCTGTCACTCTACTACGTGGCACCCTATAAGAAAGCGAGCAAGGAGCTGTTGAAATGGCTGGGACTCGGGAGACTGAAGGTAGAGCTCGAACACAAGTGAATCAAGTAAGATTATTTTAGTGCTTGAACGATCTGAAAGACGCAAACTACAAAGTACGGCCGGTCTCAAAAATATCGACAGCGACGATGTCGTTATATCGCTAAAAGATGGAATCTTTAGGTTTTGAATAAACTCTGAACGCATTTATATGTAGAGAGGGAGTGAGTGAGTGAGAGAGCGCGAGAGAGAGAGAGAGAGAGAGAGGGCGGATGGCGGATGAGAGCACAAGAAAGTGAGAAAGGGCGACAAATTCTCCATAGAAAACCGTGAATGAACCGTGAATGGGCCTGTAATTGAATAGCCCCTCATTGTTTACGGGACGCGCTCTTTGCCCCCGAACCCCTCCAGACAACCAATTCCTGCAAATTTTGATGTTTTTCTTTCACCGGACGGTGGCTTCACCCCCGACTCGATGTGTTATGCTTTCACGGCCGAAAAAACCAGATGGTGATGATAGTCAAAAAATTTACACTGTTCGGCTTCTCGCCCCGGCTTTTCTAGCTCGCATATCGATCCCCTGACCACTCATCGTATATTTGTTTTCCTTTTTAGAGGCTGGAAAGCAAGCCAGTGTTCCTTGAACAATTATTGCCCAACGAAAATCGGCGGCGTTTAGCGATTTTCAGGTAAGTTCGTGCGTTTTGGAAGCCATAATTCTTTGCGAATTGTTTAAAAACACGCCATTGGGCAAACCCAATTTTTTTTGCGGCATTGTCGTTTTCTGCGTTTTTTTTTGCGGGAAATGTGATTTTTAAGTATTCTTACGCGAAATAATCTAAGTTCAGCTCATTTTACGTTTCAATAACCATTTTGAATTGTTACTTTGCCTTCTTTCTGATACCTTCGGTTATTCTTATACTAATCTTTGATTTATTAGGTTCTCCTGGAAAAGGTGAGTAATTTTGTCTAGATATTTCTATTTCCTAAAATTGGAACGCAAATTATATGGAATTATACGGAATATATATATACGCAGATGATGCGCAAAAGATACGCACTTTGCGCAAAAATTGAGAAAAATAAAAATGAAACTAATGCGGAACCCGAAAAAAGAATTGCTTCCGCATTTCGAGCGCCAGCACTCTTTGCACTTTCTTCTTTGCAATAAAAAACTGCCAAGAAAAAGGCCTCGGCTTTCCTTTCTTCCGGCTTTTTCCGGGGTCGCATCATCGGGCTCAGCCGTCCTGTCTCCCGGGCGTTACACTCACAGTGGCGACACTCGCCCAAAACGTGTGAAAAGACCGCCCTCCGGCTCATCCGGGCCCAATATCGCCCGGAAAATGTCACCTTCACGAGGGTTAGAATGAATCTCTTGCCAAGTTTTGCTTTTAGGGCTTCCAAGAAAAATTTTACTGATCGATTTTCTAGCTCCCGTTTACGCTTTTTATTTTTTCGGGGTTTTCGACCTTTTAGCTACTTTTGTTTTATCTTTAAGCTGTTGCTCAAGCTACAAAACTTTTCTTAAAAGGTTGGGTGCCTAAATTCGAGTATAGTTTTACTTCCTAACCCTGGAAAACGAAGCCTCCGGCTCCGTTTCGTTGTTCCAGCTCGAATTTCACTAGGAAAGGCTGGATTTCCTTGACAAGGGAAACGCCAAATTTTTGCATTGTATATTTTATGCTTAAATAACGTTTTTGAAAATTTAGATAGAGAAATGGATGTATAATGATTTTTCGAGGTATTCTTGGTTGTTTTTTTAGCTTGTTTATTCCATCGAGTCCTGTGCAAAAAAGCGGGAAAATGCCTCTTTGTTTGGGGAGAAGCAGCTGTTTCTGTGAGGTGTCCAGCTTTTGCGCAATGTTTCGTCTTGGTTGCTTCTATCTAACTAGCTCCTTGCGTTAATTAAACTACTTGGCCACTATTAAACTTTATGTGCCTTTAGTGAGAATATTTTGAAAAAGTAGCCCTAGAAATTTAAATTTTGAAATGAAATTTGAATTAAATTGAATTTAAAATTTTTGATATTGAAAAAATTTGATGTCGAACAAAAATCGGTTAAATAGTATATAATAATTTTTAAAAGTATCAGTTAACGTCTTGCCGCTTTCCAGTTTCGACTTGGCCTCGATGGCGTGAAAAACTTCTTTGTTTGCGTAGAAGTGGCTGTTTTAGGCCTTGGTTTTGCGCGCTTTTTATTTTTTTATTGTTACGCTTTGTTTATTCATAGAGGCTCAATTCTAATGTTTTTACATTTTACTAACATACCGATATTCGAAGCCGGCTATGAAATGACATAATTTTTTCAGGGATGGCCTTACGCAATTCTTCGAAAATTTGGAACTCGCACTTTCAGAAAGAGCATTTGGCGTCCGGTCACTACCCCGAAAAGTCACTACCCCGAAAGTCACTACCCCGAAAAGTCACTACCCCGAAAGTCCCTGCCCCGAAAGTCACTACCCGAAAAGTCACTACCCGAAGAAGTCACTACCCCAGGAAACACCCGGAAAGCCCCACCCCGAAAGTCACTACCCCGAAAGTCACTACCCGAAAGTCACTTCCCCCGAAAGTCACTACCCCGAAAATACCACCCCCGAAAAAGTCACTACCCCGAAAAGTCACTACCCCGAAAGTCACTACCCCGAAAAAGTAGCATTGTTTTCCCGGAAAAATCCAGTTTTCTGCGGGGTTTTCCTATGAAAATCATGCAAATTATTTCGGGGTAGTGACTTGGTATTTGTCGGGGTTTTGGTTCGGGGGGACTTTCGGGGAAGTGGGATTACCCCTTTTTTTGATTCTTCATTATTCTTATTTTTTCCTATTTCTTCAAATTTGCTGGCCCAGACGCTCCCAAAAATCAACCCCGAGCGTGCATTAGCGTGGAGGGGCAGAAACTAAAGTGCGCAAGTATCCATCCCCCGGCTTTTGGATAGCCATTCGAATGGGCATCCATCCGCCGATCGATGGCCCTTTTGGCGTGGTGTGGCCGGACTAGCCGACAACACCCCTTTCCACAAATGGCCCCTTCACCCTTCAAATGTCGGCTTTTCTTTTTATTTTCTCGCGGCTCCGCCTGTGTTTTCTCGGCTCGCCGTGTCCCGTAAAATTAATTTCTGGTGCTGCTTGGGCGGCGCGAGATTCTGGCCGAAATTGAATCTATTCTGCGGAGCTTCTCGTAGTGGGGAGGGTCAAAGCTGAGGAGTTAAAGCGGTGTTCCTTGGACTTCATCTTTGATTTTCAGCGACTTTTCCACTAGGTCTAGGATATATATGCTATTTTCCAAGCTTCTTCAATTGGCTTTTTGTTGCGTTTTCTCTTCCATAATTTTTCATGTAATGTTTTTATTTTCAAACTTTCAGAAGCCTTAAATTAATTTCTTGGTTTTTTAGACGGGCTGGGATGGTTTTTTGTTTCCACGAATATCTCTCTCACTCTCTCTTTCTCTCTCTCTCTCTCTCTCTCTCTCTACCTCTGTCTAAATCCCTCATTCGAATTTGAATCAATTTCGGCCAGAATCTCTCTGGCTAATCTAATTTCTTGGTTTTTTAGACGGGCTGGGATGGTTTTTGTTTCCACGGATATCTCCTCTCTCTCTCTCTCTTTTGGGTCTCTCTCTCTCTCTCTCTCTCTCTCTCTCTCTGTCTCTCTCTCTCTCTCTCTACCTCTGTCTAAATCCCTCATACGCAAATTTTCGTGCTTCATCCTCTTCTCCTTTTCCATGTTTTCGGATTAAAGAAAAAAAAATAGGTTTTGCCGAGGCCAAAAAGATAACATTCACCATCTTTGTATACGTTCTAATTGCTCGGGTCTCGAGACTTGAATGCACCCAGTGATTCAGAAAATTCCAACCCAAGACAGAAAAAAGCCAGCGCCTGACCAGACAATGTCCATCCATTCTTTCTTTTTTTTTCCGGGCTCAACATCCTCGCATTCCCATACTCGAAAATCCTTCCACTTTTTGCTTGGTCGGCTGCCAGAAATGCCGGCCGGAAATGGGCCCCGGGTGAATCGAGGGGCCTGCCACATGTTCTCTCGTTTCAGCTTCAAAATACATAAAAACTTCACGTGACTTGACCAGAAAATAGTTTTTAATTGGTTTTGCTGGGTTAGAAAACTCTATATTTAATATTAGTGGATCTGTATGCATTAAGGCAACCGAAGTATCTGAATAGTTGCTTCACGTGTATTTCACGTTCTCCCTCAATCTCGCTCACACGCTACATTTTGCCATTTTTCTTGCTCCCTTCTCTCCCCCACTTTCTCTCTCTCTCTCTCTCTCTCTCTCTCTCTCTCTCTCTCTCTCTCTCTCTCTCTCTCTCTCTCTCCCTTTCTCTCTCTCTCTCTCTCTCTCTCTCTCTCTCTCTCTCTCTTTCTCTCTGTCTCTCTGTCTCTGCCTTTCTCTCATCTCAAACGTTTTAGATGACCGTCACCTACACCCTCGAGGTCAGCAAGGCAAAATTCTGGGGCTTTCCCAAGCTGCTGGCCAGATGGAAGGGCTCTATTTATCGCTTGATTTACCGGTAAGAGTTTCCCCCATATGAATTTATCGTATTTCAGTGAAATGCTAGTCTTCCTTATTGCCTACTACACCATACTTCTAGTATATCGATATTTGCTAGATGTTGAGCAGAAGAGGTGCGATATATTTTGCGAACTACATTTTTCTCCTTGTCTTTAGAACGTTTGAAGCAATAGCCTTGTATAGTCGAGAATTCTGCTCAGAAGTGATGGTCACGTTTGTGCTCGGGTTCTATGTGACGCTTGTGATGGGGAGGTGGTGGCAACAGTACATGAATATCCCTTGGCCGGACAGGTAAGACTGAACCTTTTTTCTTAATTTTGACAGCTGGCGCAACTAAGCTTTCTGCCGCTCTCCCTTTAAAAAGATCTAAATTTCTGATTTTCTCCAAATAAAAAGAATTTAGAATCTCAATGCAAATCGCCGCCTACGTCAACGGTACTGACGAGCGAAGTCGCATGATTCGAAGAGCCATGGCTAGATACCTCAATTTATTGACGCTTTTTACGTTTCAGGTACAAAATAAAGCAGTTTCTATAGAAACGTGATTAAGAATACCTCAACTGTCATCAAGAAGCGTTTCCCAACAATGGAACATCTTGTCGCTGCGGGGTTGATGACTGAGGAAGAGAAAGCTGAGCTTGATAATACTGCAACGCCGCATGGAGTTTGGTAGGTTAGCAGCCTCTCTCTCTCTCTCTCTCTCTCTCTCTCTCTCTCTCTCTCTCTCTCTTTCTCTCTCTCTTTTTCGGACTTAACTATGATTTTTTAGCGACAACAGGAGCCTAGCGGAATTCCGATTTAGGTAGAGCCCAGCTCAAAGGTTCCAATTTACCTTTCTCATTCTTTCGCTGTTTGCCAGGTCACATTCTCTGTGTCCAATTTGCTGATACTGTGTATTACGGGCTCTCCCCCGCATTCTCTATCTCTCTTCTCTCTCTCTGCCGCTCTCTCTCGCTCTCTCTCTCTCTGCCGCTCTTCTACCGCCCTCTCGCTCTCGCTCTCTATCGCTCTCCTTCGCTCACTCGCTCTCCCTCTCTAACTCTCGAAATTCAGGTGGCTTCCCGCCCACTGGTTCGTCCAATTGGCGGTCCTGGCCCGAAGGGAATGCAGAATTCATGACGATTTTCATCTAAAGACACTAATAGACGTAAAAACCTTGGACTCTAAATACTTACAATCTCTCTAGGACGTGATGGAGTTCCGAGGGATGTGTGGTATGATTTGGTCTTACGATTGGATATCAGTACCACTCGTTTACACCCAGGCAGGTCAAGGTTTCAAAATCCCAAAATTTCATGCCGTTTTAGGTCGTTACCATCGCCGTGTACAGTTTCTTTGCAGCATCGTTATTTGGTCGTCAGTATTTGTATAACAGCGAGGCGCCGGTAGGCAATCATTAACTGATTCGAAATGCAAGCTCTTTTTAAGAATTCCTTCCCTATCGTGGATTACTACGTTCCGTTGTTCACTATTTTCCAATTTTTCTTCTTCGTCGGGTGGCTGAAGGTGGCCGAGTCGATGATATGCCCATTCGGGGAGGATGACGATGATTTTGATCTGAACTGTAAGTAGTACCTTTCGATCCGACGTTATTTTGACGAACCAATAGATGGCCTTGCCTCTATCCATGATTCACGCATTAATAGAGCGTATAAAAACCTCCTTCCTACTTGAGAAATTGACTAATTTAGGGATCATCGACCGTAACATCCAAATTGCCTACCAAATTGTTGATCAGCTGCATGGAAGGACACCAAAGCTTTCCAAGGACCCTCTCTGGGATGAGGCCGAACCGACACTACCGTATACTGAAGCCTCAGCTGCCTTCAAGACAGAACCTCACGTTGGCTCGACGACTGCTATGAAGTAGGTCATTCGGGAGTCCCGATTTTTCCGAGCGAATTGGAATGTTCTCTCGGATTGGCGCATGAATAAACGTATTTTCTAGCATCCCTGAGAAAGCTGCCCAATGGGAAGCCACCGATGTAATGCCAGCCATATGTGAAGAGGATGGCGCAAATTATTACATTCGAAAGGTATAATCCAATAGTTAAAAACCTACAAGTTAGATGAAGAACAAAGACCTTGACGATGATGATGATGGAGATAGTGATACTGCGAGTCAGCCTAGTCGGTAAGTAAAAGAAGATAGAGAGAGAAAGAGAGAGAGAGAGAGAGAGAGAGAGAGAGAGAGAAAGAGAGAGAGAGAGAGAAGGTAAGAAACCCATAACTGATTCCTTCTAGATTGAGAAGAAGCCGTCAACGCCTCCCCGGCCTGATGCCCGGATACAGCCGCCAAAACCTGGCCAGCCGCGTCGGCAGCAAGTTTGGCAGCCTGAATTCTGTCTTCGGGGTTAAACCGTAAGTTTTAAAATGTAAAAGCGATTGCAAGCAATTTTAGACCCTCGTCTCCGCCTATTCCAAGCGTTCGCAAGATGTCGATCAGTAGGGCCCGGAATATGGACAGCAATATGTCGGATGTAAGTTAAAATTGGATTATTTTTCGTGAAATGGTCGGTCGTAGCTGTTGCATACCAAATTGGCGTCAAGAATTTCGGAAATTTGACTACTTCCAGGACTTCTCGATCTTTAAGTTCTCCGACACGCTGATCCGGGACAGTCAGCTCAATATCGAGTCGTTCAACACGTGTAATGTGCTTGATGGTGATGCTGAAGCGGTGATGGCCAATGCTCCTCCTGTACTTCAAATGCTTCCGACTCCTTCCGAGAAGGTAGGTTTTTCAGTTGTTATAAAGGAAATAGGAAATGCTGCGCCAAACCTTAGTATACATAGGAAAACATCAAAAGCCCTCCGTTATTTAAGGTCTACAACGCCACGGCTCTACAAAACGTGCCGGAGCACGGCGTTCTCGATCTCACGGAACCGGAAATGCCCCGGAAAATGTCGATTCAAGGAGTTCAAGGAGTTCAGGGAATCCAAGGGCCTGCTACAACATTTGACGACCACAATTCTGCCTCTGAAATTAGTGACTCGAACAGCCAGACGCTGCTCTGCAAGAAAAGCGATGATGAATAGTCACGTGACAGTCGAACTGTAGCCACGAGATTTAAAACGTTGTTGAAGTTTTTAGTTATTTTTATGTATTTTTTGTGCACGAGCTTGTCCAGTATTGATTTAACTCCTATTAATGCGTCCATTAACTGGCCATCTGGCACCTTTGGCGCCAAAACTAACCACAAGTCTCCACCAAATTTTCCCTTTTTTCGCAATATTATTCGTTCCCCCGGCTTTAATTATGGCATTTCATTAACTGCCCAATTACAGTATCGTTTCCTCTTTCATATTGTGCATTACCATAGCCTTACAATGACGGTTAGTTCAAAATTACCCCTCTCAAGTTTTCTTTGATTCCAAAGCGGTACCTCTCGATACAGGTTGCAACTATCCTTTCAGGTGGATTACGGTATTTATATCCATATTTATTCCTATTAATTAATTGGTTTTTGTTTTAATTTGGATTATAAGTGCAACGTGATAAATTTTCCGTTATTATGGCTTGATGTTGGCAATGTTTTCGATCAGTTTCTCGTAGATTTCCACACCGCGGAGGTAGATCTAAGCGATTTAAAGAATCAAACGATGTCTACAGGAAAATCCAGTCGAAAATACAGTATGTAAAATACCTTTTCATTCAAAAACTCGTTGTGGTCGTGGAGCAGTACCGGGGTGTTGTTCATTGGGGAGAAGCCTATGGAAGAGTAGCCCTTCTAAAGAGAAAATTATGGTTTTTTCTCTCGTTCTCGCTCTCTCTCTCATTCTCGCTCTCTTTCTCTCTCTCTCTGGCCCCCTCTCTCGCCCTCTCTCTCGCCCTCTCTCGCCCTCTCTCTCTCTCTCTCTCTCTCTCTCTCTCTCGCCTGCTCTCTCTCTCTCTCTCTCACTCTCTTAACCCACCGGTCTCATATAACGCGAATCCGTAGCGCCAGGGAAGATAGCCAAATTCAATTTGCATCCGCTGAAAATCAGGGTTTTTGATTGCGGTTTTTCGAGGCTTGTCAGAGAAATCGCGGTTTAACCCTATTAAGTTTAATAACGATATTTTTGTATGCCTTACAGTGAAGTCAACGTGCTCTCAAAAGCATTCCACAGCGGATCGTCATTAGTGGTTTTCGTAGTGTTGCTCACGCATTGTCGCTGAAACCTATCTATTTTGAAAAAATGCAAAAGTTATACCCCAACCCAGTCGATTGTAACATCTTTGCCGGCATCCACAATCCAGCCATCAACTTCCGCTTTCAACGCATCAAAATCCATATTCGGGGGGACGCGAATTATAAAGTCTATAATTTTCAGAAATCTCAGAATAGCATGGAAAGCTGTTTACCGAGCACAAATTTGTCCGGGATCACATTTGCTTGAACGCCTCCCTAAAAAAACTATAATGTGATAGGCAAAGCTGGGTTGCGTACCTGGATAATTGGAATATTGAGCGTTGGGACATCTCCAAGCCGCAGCGTCGGGTCATCGTTGAGGATCTTTTTCCACTTAGCCCGGAAGGCAAGGGCTGAGTTCATGAAGCGGTGCTAAAACTAATGCATGAAACAAAAATTCAGTAGCCGGGCAAAATTAAAAACGAGGGTTCTCTACCATTTTCTCCATGGCTGTATTCTCAATAAACTCCATGGCGTGGCCCGGGTTTCCAGGGAAGGTTACTTTTGCCCCTAAAGTTTTGGTACTGGAGAAAATGCGGGCTTTGTGTGAACATACGACGCGCTACAACTTACACCATGGGTTACGTTCTCCGTAGTAGACTTGAAAGGTTTCGGTGGGGGAAGCGAGACCTTCGTCGAGTACCCAACCAATGTTTAGATCCTAAAAAAGACCTCTATAAGCTCTCTCTCCCCCCCCCCCCCCCTCTCTCTCCTTCTCTCTCTCTATCTCCCTCTCTCTCTCTCTCTCTCTCTCTCTCTCTCTCTCTCTCCTCTCTCTCTCTCTCCTCTCTCTCTCTCTCTCTCTCTCTCTCTCTCTCTCTCTCGTCTCTCTCTCTCTCTCTCTCTCTCTCTCCCTCTCTCTCTCTCTCTCTCTCTCCTCCTCTCTCACTCTCTCTCTCTCTCTCGCTCTATCTACCTTCGATGATTTCTTCATTTCTTACCTTGAAGTCCTGACTCTCGGTGAACACCCTCATTCCATTATAGCCACCGAGTTCCTCATCTGAAGTTTTTTTCTTTGTATACCATTCAAACCCTCAGGCATTCCATTTCCCTTTTTTTTGTTATTTTCAAACGCACCAGACCCGTAAATCATATGCACTGTCCTCAGAAATTGTCGAGTTCCACGTTCAAAATGGCGCCGAATGGCCTCCAGGTACTGTATACCGACGCATTTCATGTCTTGGGAGCCTATGGCAATATGTTTTTGATGAAAACCTGAAGGTTTTCACCTCTAGCATAAATATTGCCATTATCTTCTTTCACGGCGGAAAACGGCTCGTGCTTCCAGTGCTCCTAATGACCGGAGTATATTTCTCTGTCTATCATTCTCGATCCGCCTCCTTCTCTCTCTCTCTCTCTCACTCTCTCTCGCACTCTCTCTCTCTCTCTCTCTCGATCTCTCACCTCAAAAACTGGCACCACATCCATATGAGAATACAACAACAGGGCAGGCAATTCCGGATGGGTCCCCTTTACGGTCAGAACTACGTGGGGCTGGCCTTCTACTGGCTAAAAAATACAAGAATTTTTGTTAAAAATTAAGTTCCCGACCTCAAATTTCCGCCTCTGGATCCCCAACTCATCAGCCAAACGGAATAGGAATTTGACGCATCCCTCTAGAAGCAACATACAAAAAATACCGGTGTTCGTACCGTAATCCGGTTTCGGATGTACCGATTTTATCCGAAGGTACTCGCGGAAATTTGCGACTGCGATGTCTTCACCCATTACTGAAACGTATCTCCTTAGAAGTGCAACGTAACCTAACTTAACTTTAACGGATGCAAAGTCATCTAATTTTCTTGTTATAGGGACAAATTAGGCTTTTTAGAGTGGGCGGGAGATCGCAGGATCGACCCTTTCCGCAACCAGGTCTAGACAACTACGCCATACGTTAACTGACGTTTGGAGGCCCGGTTACGCTACGGACCTGCGTCAGTAGTAGCCCGTCAGAAGAGGATTTGATTTAGCTTATGATAGCAATCAATGAAACAGCGTGTATCTTGGCGTTGCGCGTAGCTGTCGATACCTAGCTGCTCGCAAAAGTAAAATTTGCCTTTCCGAGCCCTCGAAACCGGTACAATTTATGTGTACAATCCAAAAGTCGCTCGTTTTTGTCATTAAAATTTGTTTTTAAAAGTTAAACAATGGGAAAGTTTTGAGGCATCAATCGAATGCGATGGAAAGTGCAGAATGCGCCAAATTGCCATGCAAAGCTGTGCGTTTTTGGGGGTGTGGATTCAATGATCAGTGCCCAGCGGACCGGCCCGGCAACCAACCTATCACTTTTGAGCTTGTGATTGATTTTCGTCCAGCCAACCCTACCCCCAAAAAAATCTTATCACTTCCCCAAATGTCCCGATTTTCCACCGGACCACAACGCAAAAATCACGATTTATTTACGATCCGTGAAATAGCAAGAAAGAGGGAGAAAACGGAAAGGAAAATGATAGCCGGAAAGCACTCTTGCGAAGATTTCTGGTGGCAGTTTTCTGAACGTTTTTTTTGAGCATCGATCAGCAGTGATTTTGGGCAAAATGTGATAGGTATGTTGAGCAAAATTAAGGCATCAAGCACAAAACAAATTTTAAAAAAGGCGATATAAAGAAGGCCCTGAAGTCGAGGCAACTGAAATACATGCAAAAAATTCATAAAATTTGCATAAATATATAAAATCTCTGTAAATTTGGTCGCAAAATTTTGACTAGTTGTTGGTTGGGGGGATTGCACGAGGCATAAAATCTGGGAGTAGTCGGGGCAAGAACAAGGTGAAAAACGGGAGAGTGTGCTTTTGTTTTGTGTTTGTAGATGATCAATAGTGGATGGCAGCCAACACGACGCCGGCAGACACGACGAGCGCGAAGGCGAGCAGCGCGACGGCGAGGGCGAGTGCCTGGAATTTGGAAATCTAAGATTGAACTTTAAATAAATGGTATAAAAATCACAAATCTGACAGAAATGTCGACACTGAGACTCAAGAAACGTATCAACCTAGCCAAAGCGGACGTATCGGTATTTAAAATCCCGAAAACGAAACACCAATATTTATAAGGCCTAACCAGAAGGTTCCGCCGATCAGAACCACGGCAAAACTATGAGACCCAAACACCGACAGCAAAACGCCGATAACCGAAATACCGACGTTCAAAATGCCGAGCTGCAAAATGCCGACATCCAAAAAAATTCAAATACCGACAACCGAAAGGGCAAAAGGCTTTCAAAAAAAGATGTAGGTTCCGGACGTTTTCAGAAACATTCGGCATTTTGGGCTGTCGACATTTTTGTTTTTGGGATTCTGGCTGATTGGTATTTCTGTTGTCGGCATATTGAATACCGACATTCTTGAGAGATTTTCTGAGGATACCTGACATGGAAACTGGCCGAGGAACTATATTTTGAATAGACAGCGCGAGAGAGGCATAGAGGGAGAGCGAGAGATAGAGAGAGAGACCAATTCAAAAAAAATCGCAAGATCGTGCCCACCTTTCTCTGCCGCAACCGCCGTTCCCGCTCCCTAGCGTAAACATCGTAGTCGTACATCTCTTCCGGGAGAGCCGGGCCTAAGGAACTCCTACAAAAAAGAACGCTCTACCTACCGTATCTAAAGATTGGGCTCCTCGCTCTCCTTGCCGCCGCCGGGACGGGTTGATCATGATGCCAAGGATGGGGTGGCGGAGGGGGTTCCCAGATTGGCGGTCGGTACTTCCACGACATTGCCGGAGGGTAGATTTTTCGGTCTAGACGACTGAGATAGTAAACAAATACTACTCTAAGGTGCTATTAACACAGTAGTGGATATAAAAAATAAGCAACGAAGCAAAAAAGTCTGGAAACCAAACCTGTATATCTCGTCAACGGTCGCCTGGCTTTATAATCCGGTGGCTGGGCCCATGGTGTTGCCAAATAAGGTGCCGCCGCTGTTCTTTGGAGTGATCTGGAACATCTACTAAATTAGCGATTTTTTTGCGAAAATGATGCCTAGCGCTCAGGATCTGCACTTGTGGATAGTATGGATCCGGAGCGAACATGCTTGGCGTCTGCCTACTGTAGCCTGGCCGACGGGGATAGTCTAAAAACGTAGGATTTATCGTTACGTCGTTCTCTCTCTATCTCGCCCTCTCTCACGCTACCTCTCTCACTGTCTCTCTCTCACTCTCACTCTCTCTCACTCTCTCTCTCTCTCTCTCTCCTTCTCTCTCTATTTCGCCCTCTCTCACACCTCTATAATCCATCCTCTGCGCTTGCCGCTGGTAGTACTGCCGCTGTGGCTGTGGGGCTGGGTAGGCGCCTCGGGCACAGAACTGAAGTTGGGGAGTAATAAATGGTATTAAATGTATATCAGGCATATTGAAAGAAAAATGAACATACAGGGCAAAATTCGCCAGCCCTTAGCGTTTTGTATGCGCACACATCGCAGGTGGAGTAAAAGTGCGGGGCCCTCCGGAGGGTGGTGGTCGGCCGGCGTTCGGCTGAAATGGAAAGCTTTCAAGGGAGAATGACCAACCTGAAACAGACACAAGAATGCATGACTTGATTCAGGAGAATAATAACAAGATTTGAAAATCCACACAAAACCTCCTCGAGATCAAATGAGCGAAAGAGAGAGAGAGAGGACCAAAAAGCCAGAGTGAGAGAGAGCGAGAGAGAGCGATCGACAGAAAGAAGGATCAAATTAGAAAGGCTCACTCGTCCCGCTGTCCAATAAATCTGCCGAAGATCCCTGCCCGATTTGCCAGCGTCCGGAGTTGAGTTGTTCCCTAGGTTCGCCTTTACGTTACTTTTTAAGATTTTACGCACCTTGATAATCGTAAACTTCCAGAATCCACCGAATCGGCTCTTCTCCTCGACTGCGGGGGTGGGGAAAAATTCCGGCGGTCGGCAGGAGGGGCTCTACGAGGTCGGGAGGCCAGGGATGGGGTGGATTCGGCTCTGAAGAAGATTATGGTACAGCGTAGAAGGAAGTTAAAGAGCAGCTTTTTCCAGCTAAAAACAATCGCTGAAATAAATCAGATGATGAGATATCAGTTACAATAAATCCTGATGCGCCGAAAACACGCAACGCACAGGTCACAGCCGCCCGGCTCCTAATAAAACGTCCGGTAGCTTTGGAGAGGAGGGAGGACCGCAACGCGTACGATAGACGCGTCGCGCAATTGCGAAAGCAGGCCTGCGCAGCTAAAAACCGGTTGCTATTCCGCGCACCCGCACGCAACGCGCGAAAAACACGTACAGTACGCCCTTTCCCTTCAACCATCCGGCCCGAACCCATGGGCGGTTGTGAGGTGGCTTATAGACTGTAAAAAGGTCGTCGTTAATTACTCAACGGAAAGATCGTCACGCGCATTGCATGTCGCGGGTTTTGCGGCCAAAAGAGCTGAGGAGTATAGGGAAAATCATAAAGTTTGCAATCAACAAAATTAAAGGGACCGACAAGGGCTATTTATAAATACTCTCAAAACCTCGGCGCGACCGCGATAAGCAAACCGCGGCGATCGTTTGCGCAATGGAAAGGTGCTCACGTATCGTGTGGCTGGTGCGGCAAAAGCGATAAGCTATATTGCCGGTGGAATGGGCTGTCTTACCGCTTTAAAAAAAATACTGCCTCTTCTGGGCCTTCTACGCAACGTTAAGGGTAACAATTCCACAAATAAAAGAAAAGTTATTAATATAAAAGTAAACTAATTAAATTAAGTTAGGAAAAGAAAAATGCTCAAGAAAGAGCTAAAATGGGAAAAGTATGCTAGAGAAGCTTGTTTCGACCCTTGTCCAAGACAGGCAATTTTCGCTAGGGTCGGGTCTCCTCAGTTGGAATCCCTAGCGGAACACAAAATAGTGATAGTATTTTGGCAAAAGTATCTATAGGATAAGAAAACGATGTAAGGAAGGTTAGAGATTAAGTATATAAACGGGGTAAAAAGTTTTATTTTCTCTTTCTGCTTGCTACAACGTAGCTTGCTGAACCGTTTACGTTAGGTAAAGGGGTGACAGTAGCGGGGTGTAGTCTACGAGCTGGCATTCTGGAAACAAAGCCAGAAAAATCAGAACGGAGGGGAAAGTAGAAAAGAAAAGGATAAATGATGAAGAAAACTATGTTAGAATCGCAGAAGCAAATGCTGTAAGTAAAATTGCTGTTCAAGATAAAAGTCATAAAAATTAGGCGTAAATGATAATTTTAAGGCATCAGCATACTAATGACAAGCAATGATACCTACGTATCCCCTACCTCTGCGCCAATCGCTGATGTGGGTTGTTGTGGAGGTCACGTTGCGTGATAGATTGTTGGTGTGGCGGGTGACGGAGTTGTGACTGGGCCCTCCGTCGATGAGGACGGCCGCCGTTGTGGTGGCGGGCCCCGTCTGGAATGGAAGGGAGGTAAAGCCGATTTCTACCCCTTAATGCCCGGTCCGCTACCGTCCACGTGCCCCTTCTACCCGGCGAGCGACTCACCGCGACCTATCTACCCGCGCGCACCCTAATTCACGCGCTGGATGGTCAGCAGACGTGTGGACAAACAAATGGAATGGGAGGGTGGGGTGTTCGGAAATGGTTCGGGGAACGAGTTCGGGCTGATTGAAGGGGCGCAAAATTCATATGTTTTTTATAAGATAAAAGTCATGAATTTTCGGATCCCAGAGATGCGTATAAAAACCTAACCCTGAAACTTTTCGCATCAACGAAATTAAACTACGACTTTACAAGAACACTTTGAAACCCGGTAAAAATCCGTA